AACTCATGATGTAATACACATGTTGTGTTCTCCAGGAACATGTGGAATGTGTGGCGCACGGTGCTAGAGGAGAATGAGAAGCTTGCTCGCGCACGTCTTGCTGCTGTTGAAGTGTTCCACCAGCAGATTGCAGATGATGCAAAGGTGCTGAAGGCCCACAAACTTCAGACTGCACGGAAGGTAGAAAAAAGACATACACGTACCATATCTTCAGTTCATGTTAGGTTACGTCTCACTTTCTCTTGATAGGTTCTGAAGTACTCGGTCATTTCTGCAGTATGCCTGCCATTGTAGGCTCCTTATACTCACAAGAGGAGCAGTTACTGCCATCTGTTTTTCCTTTCTGATACTTGATTTCTCGCGCAGAATAAATAAATAAACACATGAAGATTTCCGTCTTCTGGGTTGTTGCGCTGTGTAGTCTGGTCGATGTTAACCAACGTTTCAGAGGTCATACTGCCTCTGTCATCAGGCCCTGATGATGGAGGCAGTATGACCTCTGAATCGTTGACATGCTATATATGTTGCATGAAGCATGAGTCGTTACTTAAGAAAGCGTTTCTAGGTTGTTAATGCTTCATGTAAGCTATAAACATGTTACGCATCTGAAACTCATGGTAAGTAATGCATTCAGCCTCTGTCCATTGTCAAGAATGGGTTTCCCAGCTGATCTCTCAGCATTGCCTAAATTAACCCCTTTTGCTTATCTCTTAGGTAACTGTTACCAACTGTTACCTTGGTTTGAAATTAAATTAGGTTCTTATCAGATCAGTAAGCACTGAACTGTTGCTAACTGCATCACTGCCAAGACATCAGAGATGCAAAACTGGTGTATCAATGTGTTCAGTTGAGAGACTGTTTGCCACAATTGGACAGAAATTCTAGGTGATCAGATCTCCTGACTGGGGTGTTGTTTCTGGGACGTTGTTTTAAAGTGGACCATAGCGTTTGTCTCAGATTGTTTTCATTTTCATCATTTATATTCACCATATGACAATACATTTGATTCTACATTAACTTCAGCCACTGATAAAAGACCATGAAGTAAGTGGACAAAGAAATCACTTTGATGATATGTATGATGTTGAAAAGCCTTGTGCTCATCGTGTCTCTGTTTCTAGTCAGTGGAGCACCTCGTGGTCATTCAGAAAGAGCTGCAAACTTGTGTCCAGGACATTGACAAGACCAAGAAGTTGTACTTTGACGAGGAGCACAGCGCCCACGATGTGAGGGACAAGGAGGAGAAGTAAGTTGCTGGTTTGGTTTTGCAACTTTTATATCTACAAGCCAAAGTCGCAGTGAGATGTGCTATTGTCGAATGACACATTTATTTGCTACAGGTTGGAGAAAACGTCTAGTGATGCCAATGCGTAGAGGGAGCGCGGTATTAAAATGAAGCTGTTAAGATAGGCCTGCAGTGGACTTTCCTCTAGGATACACAGTTCTCCACATCAGATGCAGATGCAGAACACTGCCATCTATAATTCCATAAAAGGCAGATTTTTTTAAACACCTGAGTGTACTTTTACAGCTTGCTTCTTGTTTCCTTGTTGCAGGTTAAAGAAGAAAAAGGGCTCATTTTTACAGTCAATTACCTCCTTACAGAAAAACAGTGCTAAGGTAAAGTAACAATTTCTGGTGCACATCAGATTAAATGGAAGTCAGAAAGTCTTGTTGTGCTTTTAGATATTCACTGAGCTTTTTGCAAAATTCATATATGTCTAAATAAGCAGACATTTACCCGTAGATATGTTGTTAAGGTATATGATTATTAATCTGTAAGAGTAGACAGCACAAGTTTCCCACAAATGTAGCTTTGTATCTTATCTGAAAAAACAATTGACTAACTAGTGCTGAATCGCACATCAGTGATGATTACATCCTGTGGTGCAGGTGACGTCAAAACGGGAGGCTCTGGAGGAGAAATCAACCGGCGCACGAAATGACTATCTGTTGAGCCTTGCAGCTGCAAACGCACATCAGACACATTACTTTGTTGTGGATCTCCAGTCAACAATGCAGGTACTCTAAGTGAACCTCACAGATGCAACTGGTGGGAGGGTGTTGAGAGTTCTGGTTCTCTTCCCACAAGTCTGCATCTACAATCAGGAAAAGAGGAAGTGTTTCTTGGTCTCTCCTGGAGATATGGATGTTGAATTTTTTCAGCCAGCTTTATTGTTGTTTAATAATAATGGACACTTCGTAAAGGCCTGCATGAATTTCTGTACGTGGCAGTGACTGGTCGGAGAATTTCCAGCCAGCCACAAAACCACGTGAGGGATTTGACAGGGATATGTTTTGCATTAAGTTTAAGTTTATCGTGGATGCAGATGATGGAGAACAACGTGTATGAGAAGGTTGCTGAGTACCTCATGCTGATTGGACGTACAGAACTGCTCACGTGTTCAGCTACACAAACCTCCTTCACCAGGATACGGGATCAAGCTCAACAGGTGGGTGCTTTGTGCCATTTGGTGCTTGTCAGGTTTGCCGTCCATACAGTGCAATCAGTACTTCTCTCCCCATCGTGTGTTGCAGCTGACGCGGGAGTACAACCTGCAGTGTGTGTATCTGTTCTATCCTGTGCTGAAACAGCACATCCAGTATGAATTCGAACCTTGCGATAATGACACTGTGGACAAAATAACAGCTGACCATGCTTCTGCTGTGGTCAGTCTGAGCAAAGAAGCCAAACGCTGGGCGGCCCGCATCGCGCGAGAGACGAACAACGTTCGCGAGTACACAAGGAAACTGCACATCTTCCAGCAGCTGAGGGACTCGGGGCAGAAGGTGATGTGAGAGGTGTTGCAGATATTGTGGAATCGGATTGTTAGACTTATGGGTATGTTATTGCATTGTTCTCAATTCTCATGCCTTTTAACCATGTTTCTCTCTCTAGGTAGATCCAAATGATCAGAATGGCCCAGATCTGGAAACCAAAATTGAAGAGCTGAGGCAAGGAATTCGAAGATCAGAGGTTAGTACACCAGCAGCATGTACGGTCCACAAAAGACATTCATTGATTTTTGGGAAGTCATCTTTGTTCTTTGTAAGATTTGAGGTTTTCTCAGCGCTGAGAGAAATCTTCATCTTTGTGCTTTGTTTCCAGACAGCAAAGCTGAAGGCTGAGGCCCGGATAGAATGTCTGCGGTCCGGTGGAGGTAAGTGCTTGAAACTTATGTGGCACTTGGGCCTCCAAGTAGTGAGAACTAAGTTCTGCTCCTTTGTTGCAGTCAACGTGGATGAGTGGATGCAGGAGGTGGACAACCTGAGTGTGCAGGATATGCCTCGGTCTGCCAGCTCGCTGTCTGTTCGTACTGATGCCTCTGGAACAGGGGTCAGTTGTGTTGTCTTGAAAGACAGCTGCTCATATAATATTTTAAGCTTTCATGGTAACCAAATACAGTGAAGTCTTCTTGGCTCAGCAGCCACGTATGTTGGTAGTTGAGAGTCCGATGTTTTAGAGACTCTTTGTCTTCTGATAAGCGTCTTGACTGCCTATTGTATTTGCGCCCATGACTGGCTCTTGTAGCCCCAAATTCTTGTCTGCAAACAAACCAATGGGGAGAGTGGGTGGAGTCAGGTGATCAGTCACCCCCAGTTATCACACAGCCTGGACATACTGCACTACTGGTTGATCATTCCTTCTTTTGTTGCTTTATGACTTTTGAAGATGGCTGTCTCCTCGGTTGTTGCGCCATGAACATGACAATGCAATAACACATGCTTACATTGTAAGACAATCTGTTTTTATTTTTCGAACAAATATGATGATAGCCACTGCGTGTGTTGTGATGTTGCAGGAGCCCCCAGCTGCTGATTCACTGCATGACAGTGATGGTGATCTGACTGCAGTGGAGCGCCAAGGCAGTGAGTCTGAAGTGGCTGAGGATGAAAAGCCTGAGGTGGACGGAGAGTGGGGTTAGTGTGTTCACATCTCATTCAGTTATCTTATGACAAAGTAAAAGAATAATAAATGTTGACTGGTGTGTGATATTCATATGTGTACTTGCATGGCATTGCTGTTGTCATGGCCACAACCTACTTATGTGTGGTTATTTCAGCAGTACATGGTTTAGTTCCTCAAGGACATAAAACCAAATTTAAATGTGTGTTACTTTACTTATACAAAGAAAGTAAGTATGAATTAAATAAGTTTAAATGTTAGATTAGCAGGTATGATTTATGGGTGTAACAATAAAAGTCAGTTCTGGAATTTTATGATCCACCTATTTGCATTCAGAATGTCTAGGTAAAATTTTGGTGCATTTTGTTGATGTCATAAGTAGAAGTGAGCTTAATTCAAAAGGTCAGTTGCCATTATCTGTGTTGTTGGCAGCCGTGGTGGAGCAGGAGCGACAGAGGCTGGAACAGCTCACTGCTGGCTGGGATGACCCCACGCAAGTAGACTGGGGCCCTGATGATGGGGCACCTGAAGGAGAAGTGGATGTTGTGCAGCAGCCCCCAACCGTTGACATAACGATCGAGCCGGGACAGATGTACAAGTGCATAGCCCTGTACAATTACACAGTGAGTTAGCATCTACATATACTTCTGCTGGTGGGCTTGGTGCTGAAGTCTGTGAGACTGAGGTGTGCTGTGTTGTGCGGTGTAGGCCCAGAACCCAGATGAACTCAGCATTGTGGAGAATGAGCAGCTGGAGGTGGTGGGTGAAGGTGATGGTGATGGATGGCTGCGTGCTCGCAACTACCGTGGGGAGGAGGGTTACGTGCCCCACAACTACCTGGATGTGGATCATGATGATCAGTGCGCTCAAGTGGGGGGCTCCAGCTACCAGCTGGTATCTCAGATATCATTCAGTTCTGTGGACTACACAGTGGATGAGCCTGAGGACATGAAGACTCAAGACGAGCCAGCTGTTGAACAAGATGGTGATTTATATTGCCTTATTCACAACTGTTTGTACACATTAAATAATTCTAATCAAACTTTAAAGTAGATCAACAGTAGTGTTCCCTCCACTGATACCACATGATTTGATCACACTCTCTTTTCTGAAAATCAAGCGAAAGTGAAGTTGTAATTAAGAGGAGAATCATTCATTATGCGAGGGAATAGAGAGAAACCACAACACAAAAAAGATTTTAATTAATATCCACTACCTGCAAGTTCATCGCCCTCGGTGGACTACTGGTTAGCCTACTCGCCACTGGACCCAAGGTTCACGGGTTCAATCCCAGCCGAGGTCGATGGATTTTTAAGGGTGATAAAAATCCGTAGCACAACTTCCTTCGGAGGGAAAGTAAAGCCGGCGGTCCCATGTCGTAGATTTACGGCATGTAAAAGAACCTTGCGAGCGAGATGTTTCGCAAACAAAATTCAGTGGCCATTTCTCACCCAAGTCTCTCCTGATTCACTGATTCACTGCTAGATGGCTCTTGCAGTCAAATCAGGAGTGAGTAGAAATTGTGCAGTCAGTGGGCTAGTCACTCACTACTCATAAATGTATGCTTTAAAGACTATGAAACCTCCGATAGGAGGCCCTATGCTCCACTTAGGAGTTACAGGAAATAACTTAACTTAACCTGCAAGTTTGGTGACTAGCACACCGGGGTCAGGTATTTTTATTTTTTCCATCACATCCAGCTGACCTGTTGTCAAATTTGCATCATATTCTTGGCGCTGATGGCTCTTTCTCTCTGGACAAAGCAACTGGAATCTGAAGCCGACTGCTTAGCTACATCAAGTGCTAATATTAAGAATGCATGAAGTTGCACCTGTATGGAATTTTAGAAATTGGAACAGGTGATAGGAGTTTCCACCTTTAACTACTGGAAAGTCTGATGTCGATCAGAATAAAACTTTATTGTTAATCGTCTCTTGTATTCATTCAGTGAATCAAAGAGGAGTTATTTCATGTGTACAGAGGGATGAACATTCATGGCTTTGGAATCCCAGATATTATACAGCACATTTATAGTTGTGTTATTGGTGCACAGGTTTGGAAAGTTACTGCCTCGCTTTGTATGACTATGAAGCCACCTGTCCAGAGGAATTGTCATTCACTGAGGGCCAAGTGATCCGGGTCTTGAGGAAAGTGGTCCATGTAGTTGATGATGGCTGGTGGGAGGGTGAGCTGGATGGCCGCACTGGACTCTTCCCTTCTCTGGTTGTGGAGGAGTGTCGTGAGGATGGCGAGCCCCTAACACCTCAAGTAATATGCACCATTATGGCTAACCTCACATTCATCCTTCCATCTCAGTCTCAAATGTCCTAGCAGTTTCTTATGCCTTAAGTCAGGAGTTCTTGACCTTTTTTGCTGGCGTGCCACTAATTTGAATTTAACATATTAAATGTACCACTAAAGAAATGCGTTCAGGGAAAACTGTTATTTATGTTAATATTAACTTTTGATTTTCTTACTTGGTCTGCGTACCTCTCTACATTGGCTCGCATACCACCAGTGGTATGCATACCATAGGTTGGGAAATGCTGCCTTAAGTGTTATGTGTGACTGTAATTAATACTGTGATACAAAATCTGAAAAGATACAGTACCAAAGCCAACAATAAATTTGTTGAACCTAGTCAACAATATGAACACCCCTTTCCTTTAATCATCTGTCTTCATCTTCCAAGTACACATTTTCCAAGAGATTGATTAATATTCCAGTGTTCTGTTTTTGTGTATGAATCTGCTACCTTTGCCTTTGCTACAGGACGAAGATGAGACACCAGGGTCAGCCCCGCCTGTGTTCACGCCGCCAGATGTGCCTACATTCCTACTGGGTCCCCAGCAGGTCATCGTCACGCAGCCCACCCCTATCATTGACCAGCCATCACCAAAACGTAACAATGACGCCAGTTTTATGAGGTTTTCATGGCTGTGTAAATTTGGATTGTGGTGTGGCTTGTGACGCCGTGTAGTCTTGTAGGTGGTTACCGTCATTTTGGAGGAACTTGTTTCTTTCATCTGATCTGGAATCTGTCAGATCTGGAATGTTAGTAACAAGCTGTAAGACTACACAGTGTCATAACCCAGAAGACTGGCATATGTGGTGAATATTTACATACTAGCGCGTTATCACATTGATAGTGCAGCACCAATTCAAAACTCAGTGGAAAGTCTTCATTTTATATATGAACTACACTACTTTCAGATTGTGTAGAGTCTGATTATAACACTAAGCTTAATTACCAAACACAGCAATGCATATAATGACTCTTTTTCAATGATTAATTTGTATTAATCATAAAATTCATAAAATTCAGGTTCTGGGACCAAATGGATGTGACATCAGATGCGTTTGCTATTTATAATTGGTGTGGCACCACACAGCGATTGCCAGTCATTGAAACAGTAGAGGACATGCGAGCTTCTATAGGTGTAGGCGAACTGGACTGATTCATTGATTTAAGTTCATTGAACTGAGATGACTTTTGTAAATATTCAGCAAAAACTTAAATAGTAAAATTAATTACTCTTAACCTAAATGCCAGTTGTGACATTTCCTTTGCACTAAGCTGAAAGGGTTATAGTATGATTCAGTTACTAGATACCTGCACCAGAGTGAGGCACATCCTAAGTCATTCATAATTGTGTGGGTGAGCCTTGTGTCACAGCGTAGAATTGGAAAAAGGAATATGGGAAAATGGTTGGTCCATCCACAGCTTGCGAATATTTAATTAAAAGGATAAGGACCACAACAGTTTTGGCCATCACGAACTTGTTATGTCTTGTTATTCAAGTAATGGTATGTTATTCTTTTAATTACGCAGGATAAATGACCACTGCAGGTAAGTCGGCTCTGAATGCTAACTAACTTCACACAAACTGTCCTATTTATGCAGCAGACGCACAGCCACCTGACTCATCTCCTTCTGCAGAGGCCGGATTTGAGATGCAGCTGAGTGATGGGAAGTATGAGCAATACGACAGCCAGTTCCAGGGGTCTGCCCCGCCCGCCATCACAGGTACACGCACTTGACACTATTATACAGCATTATCGTATCAGAAATGCAGTTCACTGGCTGCAAATGAAATGTTTAAGCCCCTGTAATGTCATTGTTTGGTAACATCTTCGTGTTTCTTGTACCGGCTGCTTTTCCAGTGGATGAATGCCCCACCATCTCGATTGACGATGAGGAGGAGGAGGAGGTATGTAGTTTTGTACCATTCATCATTGTAATGCTCTTCTTAAAGCAAATTTCATGATACTTATAGCTGATCAAAGGAAACAGTCAAAATTACAACAGCTGAAAGATATCAGCCAAGAGAAATAGATTAACCCAAGACAGAGTTCTTCACAAGCCTGCTGTAAGTCATTATAATTTTTATTCTCAGTTCTTTCTTACAAATATAACAGTCAAGGCATTCGGGAATTAGTGACATGATAAATTAAGTGCCCGTAAGTGTGCCTCATGTCCCCTGCACTACATATTTGTATTTTATTATGACACAGTTTTGTTCTGTTCATGTCTGGTGAAAGAAATAGAAAGTAGACCAGACATATCAGATAATTTTTTGGGGAAAAATTTTAATTTATTCAGTTTATTATACCAGTTTTTAATATGAAAGTATCTTATTTTTATATTGAAACAGATGTTAGCCCTGATAGTCCAGCCCCCAAGCAGAAGGTTGTGCTGGTGAAGTGGCTTGCTTGTGGAAATATTTGGAGGAGTATGATCTGAGGCAGAACTAGTTGGTCTGTTAGAAGCAAATAGTGGAAATGTCTGTCCACTGAGATGCACCTTTCTGTATCAGATGTTCAGCAAACTGGGCCCTGGTTATTGCTTGTGCCTGCCTCTTCTTTTCAGCTGTCGGTTATTCTTCACTGAAGGCCTCCTATAGGAGATGCAGATGCAGGTGGGAGGGTTCCAGATGCTGGGTTGGCAATCACAGTGTCCATGGTGGATACTAGTTCTTGAGGGGCTGTACACAATAAGGAATTCTTGTTGCCTGGTCACCTGAAGACACAAATAGAACCCATGTCTGATACAAGGTGGTTTTAGTGCGTAAAAAGTCTAAATCCGAAAGAAAAATAGTCTTACACATTGTGTCATGCCATCATTAGATATCTCACCATTCATCTCCAAATGATGAACTTCTCGCATTTGTGGAAGTGAGCAAAAGCTTTGCTTGATGTCGGGTGTAAAGCCTATTTTTGCCGATCCTGCATGACATGTGTTGTGTGTGCTCCTAGCTGAGTGTGTGACAGAAGGGAAAGTGTTTCTGTTAGGTATCCAAGAAAAAGGTTTTGTTCTCTTTGTTTCTGGGATGACAGTGTTCATATATCTAATATGACTGAAGACCCAGTTGTCATAAAATTAAGAGTCTTTGACTGATGTTGTGAGCAAATCTAAGTTTAGTTCATTGATCTCCGTATGGATATTTGTTACAGCTTTCCATGTCAACTGTTACAGGTATTCACACAAGATGAAGCACCAGTACAACCAGAAATTTATGCTGAGGGTGGCAAACCTGAATCGCCACCCCTCCAAGATGACAGTTTTGGTCTTGGCGTGGCTCAGATCGTTATTACCGCCGCGACCCCTATGGTCGAAGAACCAGAACAGCCATTCCCCCCTCCGCCTTCAGAAGAGGAAGTAAAAGCATCAGAGCAGACAGAGGAGGTTGACCAGAACTCAGTGGAGGAGCCGTCATTATCTGAGGATGTGACGGTGGCTGAGGTCGCAGAAGAACCGGATGATCCGACGGACTCGGCCCCGTTCCCAATCAGCAGCAGCACCGGGAGCGAAGAGGACACGTATACGGGGCCCAGCACAGCCGAGAATTCACAGAGTCAGCCTGCTGAGCAGCCTGAGACAAGTGCGAGCAGTACGGCAGTGGGTCCGGAAAGCATCCCGGATGAACTCGAGCCGCACCAGCTGGCTCAGTTGCAAGATCTAAAAGAATCAAACGCTTAAGCAGTATCACAGCCAGGCTTCTGTCACACGTGGCGAGTGACTCACTGGGCCAAGCGGCAGGTTACGTTGAGTAAGCTCCTTCAGAAGTTTTGCAGTAGCACGTTACAAGAACCACAGACTTGTGCCTTTTTACAAGAAATAACTGCACTTCTGGTATGTTTAGAAATTCCTCTCTCTCTGTTGTTTGGCAGTGATCACGCAACCTTGTGTGGCATTAACCTTGTAAGTTAATATTTTATATAGTACAGAACTGTTGTACAGTGTATATTCTGCATCATGTTGTCTGTTAGATCACATCCAGGTAGAGCGAGGATATTTTCAGCAGTAGCTCCTTCATTATTGCATAACGATTTACCTATATTTTTGTTGCTCCTTCATTTCACATCGAGGACATCTGAATAATTTATCTTGAAAGCTGAAAGTAAAATTTTTATTTCCATTTTGTGGAAAGAATAGCATTCTTCAGTCCTAAGGGCTTTTCATTCATTTTTTTTTTTTCCTAACATGTTATACATCCTTCTTAGACATGGAGTCTGGCATGAAGGTCCTCGTCACATAGACCATGACAAACAAGAGATCTCTCGTTCTTCTGAATTTTTATCACAGTTATGAAGTGAAAATTGGTCTTTCATGGCTTAGATCAGTATTTTTGGTAGCATGCCATATGATAATCAGTAGACTAAATAAGTAGAAGGTACTACTTGCTCAAATATTTTTACTTATGTAAACATTTTATATAATTTCTCCTTTTATTTTTCTCTAGGTATTTCAGTATTAAATTCTTAGGTCATATTACATATTGCATGTAGTAAATCATAAGGCACATTACACCTTCCCCTTGTTTTAAACATTATGTGGTAATGGGTATACTTATTGCGTTGGACTTATTCATTTTATACCACAATGTTTTGAAAGTTGGTTCTTCTTCGGTCTTTAGGTGACCAGGTGGAGGACAAGTCTACTCTGTTGGGCTTTATGGTTGAGCTGCTCCGAATCTTTGTCACCTGAAGATGGAAGCAGAACCAAATTTCAAAACATTGTGGTTTAAAGGCACTTAGACAGTGGATAAGTCCAGCAGAATAATTATACTCAATGTACTACAGCATTGTCAGAGACATTTGAACTTTTTGACAGGTTTTTTAGTTTCATTTTAATGCGCTGTACACTTTCACACTGAGTTCAGTTTCAGTTGCCAGAGCGCCACTTTATTTGGTCGCAATGTTTTAGGTACATGGCAGTTGGTGTTATAGATATTCTTTGGTCTGTTTGTGGTTGTCATGGTGCTGATGTTGCGCGTTCCTAGGAATCAAGAGTTCTTCACTTATGTTTGATATTCTAGAATACTAACTATTGTTTATAAATATCAGTAGACTTTCCAAAATGAGAAATGTTTATTTATGTTGACTTTGAGAAAAAACACGCATTTCAATAAGAGGGCATGTCCTTGGTGACTGTGACAATATTCAGGTTGGTACTACTGCAACATCTGTTCTGTCTCCTCTCAGCCGTGCCTTCTCATCACAAAGAAGTATTGTCTGTTGTGTTAGAATCCTTAGTATGCTGGACCTGGCAAAATCCTTATCATCCGCTGCACAGGGAGTTCTGTGACATCACAGTAAACGTGATTTCTGACAGAAAGTTGATTTGAGTGGGACAAATACTGATACTACCGTTAAGGCTTGTTCCCACAGATGAGATTCAAATGCTAAACATTGTTTCATATCATGCGGTGTATTCAGTGTCACAGTACGTATAAAGCAATTCAGTGCTCTGCCCTCTGATCTAGTTCGTGGGTTATGATAACTTGTATATAGCGCAGAAGTGGTCTCTGGCCACTGCTGTCGTTGCTTGGCAACTGTATCCTCTCTCGTAAGTGATCACTATGTAGGATTCTGGTGAGTGTGAATATATATTCATAAGATTGTGATAATACTTGAGTGTGTGAATGTGTTACATGCAAGATGGGTTTTGAGGCAGTAGTGTCTCTTAACATAGTGTGTATAAATAACATTTTTACTCATGATTTTATCACTGAACCACACTGCATGATAAATGTTTTACCCCACATACAAACCTTGATGGTAGTAACGTGTATCAACTGAAGTAGACTCAGTATAGTAATACGTGCAGTCTGCAGTGTTTGTAAAGCTACCGCCATGTCCAGTGTGCCAGTTTATTCGCACAATGTAGTAGTAGCGTGAAGCAGCATACCAGCACTTCTGGTCTGGCCAATAATACTTGTCTTTATACTTCCCTGTACAGGGTGGGCCTTACCACACCTTTTTATACTTCAGAATGACATTTGCCCACTTTTGCTCTAGAACTAGTGTAGATCATGTAATTGTGTCACAGTAGTATGTTCCCTTGTCAACAGAGATGACACAGCTGGTTTAAATTTGATGAGGAATTTTTATTGTAGTATGTCAGTAGATCATCTTACCTGGTTCACATTGGGCATCTTTTGAAGGTACCCTCCCCTATATGTATACTCTTGTCCTGTCACATGAAATGACTGTGTAAATTGACACTGATCACAATTGTTAATCATGAGAAACAATGAAAATTCCAGGTCAGATTTGAACCACCCTCATCCTAAGGCACAGCTACTGACTCCCTTTCTTCACCTGCCTCTCTCTAACAGCAAAGTGCAATTGTTTTGTTTCACAATATACGTGCACCTTGCAGGGCTGGGGCAGGTATCAGACAGGCCTACAGCTGCTTGCTTCCTTACCTCCTGGTATGCATAAATGTAATTACCGAGAGTGTGTGGAAATATAAGTAATGTTAATCAACGTGCATTATACGTGTGTCCTCTGACATGTCCCCTCTCTCACGTCTGTCTTCCAAATTACTGGTGCCATGATTAAATTAATATTGTGATGTCCGAGTTGCACACAAAGACATTTGGAAATCCTTGTGCTGGGATGAGAGGAAATGATTTTCTACTTTGAGGCATTCTTTACGAAAACTGGAATATTTCACGCAGACCTATCCATGCATGTCTGTGGTCTATAGTCAGATGAATCAAGAAGTTGAGGGGGGACTATAAGGACACTGCTGATATCCACAATTAAATGAATGGTGATTAGTGCAAAAGAAGAGGAGGAAAATGCTACAATTAGGCTGTGTCTTTAAACTCCAGAGGATACGTGACAAATGAGTAAAGTGTGTATTGGAAAGTCTGCAACCCATCTGACGTTACATTCTTGGAAAGCAATTCTAGAGAGTTTTGACAGCTGGTTTTCATCAAGATTTGAACTAGATTCTGTTCAGCTATGTTTGTCAACTTTGGCATGATACAAGAAGAAGAAGAAACTACTGATAAATTACAGATGCATCAAGCTTTTGGAGTACCATTTGAAAATTCAGTTCACATTTAAAACATGACCTTCCCTATGAAGTAGTTTTTTCACTCATGAAAGCCATAGTTATGCTGTCAGTCGCTCGTTTTCCTTCATCCCTAAAACTCGCCACATCTGAAGGAACACCAATTGGGTAGATTTAAGTGAGCAAGACTCAGAACATACAAATTTATTATACGAATGAATACAAGTTTCCAAATGTCTGTAACACAGGCACCTGTTGGCAATGGGATGTCCACAGATAACAAAGTTTTCACATATTGCGCATGCACCGAGACACTGATAAGTACAAAGAATGTGACATTCAGCTGCCTAACATGTACTGTACCTTAACAACCAAAGCAAAGTTGCAGGTCTCAAAAGTATCTGATGTGTGTGTGTGCGCGCGCCTGGGCTCGATCAGTAAGTGGTGCCACACACCACACTGCTGCCAACATTTGAGCATAATACAAACACTTCTATGTCTGCAAGACAGACATACATACATATATACAAAATATTTTATATTTGGGTATCGTAATTTTCATATAAACATACCTTCAGCTTTACCTCTGTTACCTGCAAAAGGCATGCAACTTTTCCACTTTTATAAAGGCACACCGTTTGAGGCAAGAGTTGAGCAACATCATGAATCAGCTATAAAAGCTTTCTCTGCACAATGTCCTGTGGTTCTTTTAATGACAAGATATGTGTGGGTACAAGTAGTGAATCACAGTAACACAGCTTACTCTGCACTGCATAACATCACATGAAGCCATTCAAAGCAAAATATTCAGGGTCCCTCATCCACTGCAGGGCAGTGTATTATGGTAAGTTACAACCTGCTAGATGAAGTCAGAAGAAACTTCCAACCTTTCATACCATTAAAAAAAATGCCATGACATGTAAACAGGGCAGTTTAAGATGTGGAATTCTATCTGCATGACAGTGAAATTCTGGGACAAATTTCTTCTCAACTACATGCAAAGTACTGCCAATAGAAAGAGAAGAAGAGAAGAACTCTACATTTCTTTTAGGACATCAGGTCATGTCCAGTCATTCCTTGTAATGTTACATTTACTATCCAGAGTGTAACCCAAACTGCATTTATATCTTATTACATACACAAAATAAAACAATCAGACCTTATTGGCAATAAAAATTAAATTTTCTTGCTTCATCGTACTGGTCATGAGCTACAAACAGAGCGGCCTGATGAGATGCCAATTTATCCATGATGGTATCACCACATAACCCAACTAAGCGAGGAACACCAGGAAGTAGTTACCCTCTACACAAAGGAATGTGATTTCGTTCACAGCACTCTGTTCACGCTACAGCTTCACAGCCGACAGCTGCTTGACTGTTACTTCCATAATTCCAGATGACTTGTCATGAATGATGCTTCACAAGCACAGTGCATCTGACATTACATAACCTCTGTGGCTGGTGGATGATTAACAACACACATGTACAGGCAATGTTCACAGAAACATCTGCAAGTGATCCATTCAGTTTTATATGGTGGTACATCAGTACGCAGCTGCTGCTAAGATTATTTTCTTCACAGTGTGGTGATCATGTGAAATCTGTTACTTGTTTGTCAATAACTGATAAACTGTGCAAAACTCGGTATGGTGATAACCGCCTACAATTCTGCATGAACATTGTTCTATATGCTGGAAATTATAAAATTAATAACAGGGTGGAAATCTCTGAGAATTTACAGGTATCATAAATTGACAGAATTTTGCATACAAGAATAACATTAAGTTGTCTGAGTTTAGCACCACTCAATATGGATGGCAGCATTTAATTGAAAGATAACACCACAAGTTTCCCCACGACATCTAAATGGCACACAGAGATTCATACTTCATATCTGGTAGGTTGTCAGTACATATCTCAACTCACATTTATCCTGACTCAGGTTTTCCTCAGTTGTCGGTTGGTATTTCACATAAGCTGTGACTGTTTCATGCCCACATTCTTACCAAATGAGTGTAATTTCTCATTCCAAATGAACTGTGCTGTTGACCTAATGACCCACTCTAAACTTCCTATTCAAAAGTGAGAAGTTCTGATATGAGTGTCTTTGCCAGTCAAGTAACTGACTGATGGGTAAGAAGCTTCATCTCAGTGAGTGGCCACATCTGCTCCAGTGAGCACCTCAACCCTACCTTCTGGGCTCAGGTTAGGCAACTTTATACTGCCTCGCTTTGGCCTCCACGATATCTCAGGCTGTTCGTCACTGTCAGTCAAGGGCAGGTTTATCTCCTGAGACTGGGACGTGTGAAATTCCTCAGGTTCCAGTTTCATCTCCGGTGCAATCACACCCAACTCTCCACAGCCACCTGATGATGACGGTGCGACATCTGACTTGTAGTGCCTCGCTCCTGTCCCAGGTGTCACTCGTCTGTGTTTCCGTGCTTTGCCATCAGTCTGCCGTTTTCTCCTGATAGCTGCATCATCGTCATCACTGCTTCCTTCTGTGTACAGTTCCTCACCTGAAATCCACTGCTCCTCATCTTCCTGCAATAGGAACCAAATGCCATTGCTTTAACAACAGGAACTTATTTGCTCCAATTATAATCACATCCAGTACTCAGGAAACAGAATTTAATGTACAGTCAATACAAAACACAAATTAAGCTTTGTCTGAAAGTCCAATAATGCCATCTACAATTTAAAAAATTATCTAGGAATTATTTTCAGTTGCCAGAAAATGTATAATTTATGTAAGACTTGAGGTTCTCACAGCGGTGAGTATGAAGATTTCCGTCTTCTGGGTTGTTGCGCTGTGTAGTCTGGTCGATATTAACCAACGTTTCAGAGGTCATACTGCCTCCGTCATCAGGGCGATGAATAATTGTATAATTTATGTTTTGCTCTTTATGATAAACAGTTTAACAGAAAGGAACATTTCTAGTGCACTCCACGCTTTCATATGTCTGATGTGTTTCAAAGTATCTAACACACCTCTTTCTTAAGCCGATCAATCTGAAGCTGTGCCAGCTTTCTCAGAGCTTCTGGTCGAACATGTTGATCACTCTCAGGGCTTGACATTGTTATCTAAAACAATACCAGTAAAAATTAATATTTGGACACACCCACTTGACTGTGTCACTAGTTTTCTTAATTTTGGTAGGAAGAAAACCAATATTAGACTAATTTTTTAAACCAATACAGTGGCTCGGTTTGAGCATCTGACACTTGAGATACATGACATTTTATTGGCCACAATCCACAGCAAGATCCACCTCAAGCAAATTTTCTACACTTTATAAACAAACTGTAACCGATGCAGTCATTAAATCATAGCAAGATATTAAATTTAAAATATAAGTACCACTTATGGAAATAAATTAAAGCTGTAACACATTACACATATCCTATTTCGATCATAATAACAACAGCTGCTACAGAACTAACGCAAATGTAATTTTGGCATTGACTAGGTTTGCCAACTGAAGTTGTAGAAGCAACAAGTGTACATAACACAATTCTATTCTGAATGAAGGTCAGTTTAGAGTTTCTGTCGCTTGAATAAAGAAATTTCGCACAGAACATTAACTTATTTTAAAATGAGTATATAATAAAATGTATTATTATTAATGACAGTCGTAGGATTGGCTTCCATCTCCAACAAAAATAGAACTGCTTTGGACTCCAACCAACCTTCTATTACAGCGAGTGTTCAAACGTTGACAGCACTTTCTTGGGATAAAGCCAGTCAGAGCTGCGAGCTGAGTACCTATTTATTAGTGTATACTTCCCAGAATGAATGTAAGCTTACTTCCATGACACCTTTCCACTTTTGAGAATATAGAATAATTTTAAGACCGTACTAACATATTGTTAAAACCAGCTTCAGATTATTAAAATTTCTTATGTTGGACACACCTATCTTAAGCACCATTCTCCTTTTGCAAAATAAGGGAAAACATTTATATTGGTATTACTGGATTCTAATGCTGGTTACAAGTTATTCATGGGTGGTAAACAACGGTGATAATACCTGTATATTGATAATATCTGTGGTAAAAATTTAACGATCGCTATAAATTGTATTCATAAGTTGTTTCAGGACTATGTAGGAAGCCGCTTGGGAATGTGAGGTAATTTCAGAAGTATAGAGTCGTGTGCCACTGATGTGTATAGTTGCTGTCCTGGGATTTGTTTGGTGTATGTAGAAGAAAGAGAAGATTTTGGCAACATTACCAACACAGGCGAGGCATTCGATCCGATGGATTCTGACGTTCCCAATGCAATAGTGGATATAAATGTTAAGGGACTCGATTGTAGTCCACCAGTTGTTACAGAACCTAGTATTACAAGAAATTTAGCAGGTATCAGTACATTGTCAATAAAATTTTATTGGTATTTATTTTTCAAGGTAAAGTTATATTATATACACATACGCAGGCACACGAACACCCACACAGGTGTTTAATGGTAAACTTTATGACCGAACGTCGTTTCTGAGTGGTAAAATGCCTTAGTTTTTGGGAGATCCCAGTTTCAGATGTCAACCTGGAGACCAGCCATCCTTATTGATATTTACATGGTTTTCCTCAGTGCTTCCAGTTAAATGCTGGGTTTGTACTTTGAATGAGCTCATGACCTGTATCTAATACGTCCTACCCAATTCATTATTCATTCTACCCTTTTACACTTTATAGTTTGAGCTACGGACAGAGTCGTTGAGTATACCGTAACCTTTACAGTCTTACGTACCGTCATGGAGTAGTGCTTGTTTAGGCACTCTACTTATAAAGACCAAGGACTGTATATTTTTAATACACTGTTTATTGATCTATTTTCTAATAGTATCCTATCATCTGTGCCAAGATTCTGATTTTGTTCTTTTCTTTCCCCAAGTGTGCTACACATCCTATCCATCTCCTTCGTTATATCACACTAATATATTATTATGAGTGCAAATTATAATGTAATTTTATCCAAAGATGGCTGTCTTCTGGGTTGTAGCATCGTGTAGTCTGGTAGAAGTTTACCTGTGTTTATTCTATCAGACTACGTGGCACTACTACCCAGAAGACGCTTGTTACATTCTGTCTCTGAAATCCAAACACTGTCTTTAGTACTTTCTCTCAAACACCCTCAATTTGAGTTTGTTTATTGGGGTGAGTGACTGTTACTTACCCTCATAAAATAATGGGGGATGCTGCTTGTTTTTGATTTCATAATATTTTTATTTTACTCTTGAATTAATTCAGTTATGACTGTTTAAAAATATATTGCTATATCATTCTGTATATATATGTGAACTTTACTTTTGTCATGGTGTGTTTATGTACACCTAGAGTTGTGATGTGAGGCATACAGCAGTTCTGTGTTACTGGCTCATAGTCATAGAGTGTAATTGAGATAAGTTGTTTTTATGTTGAGAGGACTGCTATAAGCGTATGGAAGGAAGAGAGTGGGTAACAGAGTTTGACACACTGCTAGCTCAAAGTGACGTGGCCATCACTGGACAGTGGATCGCACAGTTCTGTGGGCTTGTGTTGTCAGAGTCTCAACGACACAGTTAACAACTTAAGTTAGAATCATATAGTGGTTAGAGTCTGGCATAACTTACAGAACATGAGAAGTATGTGCAGCCAAGAATGTTTTGTTAAGGAGGTTTCTTCAAATTTAAGTTGGAGGAAATCCCTCTCATAAAGTGCAGAGTGCGGTGTGGATACATTCATATTGCTTACAAGTGCATTCAGTTTCCGATCAGGTGGATAATGCTATCAGTTGTGTTCTCTAGTAAGATATTTCTTAATGGAAATGCGTAACTTAAATTAGAAAAATAACACAGAAGTTTGTAAATATTTTTTAATTTTTTAATGTCACTTATTTCAAGCTGATCCATCATTGCAGGTTTGCAGTGTCA